ATATATATATATATATATTTGCATCTTGCTGAGTTTAGCATGACTGCTGTGTACCTATCCTGTCAATCATGAGTGTATTACATTGAGTCAGCTGTGACTTTTTTTAATGACCAAACCAGTTTACCTTGTCACTCAGACAGAGCCTATCGCAAAGAGCACACAGGTGTGTGTGTGTCTGTGTGTGTCCTTGTAAGACTCGGCCTCAGGGCATACAGCCGACATGCCACTGTGGTAAGGTCTTACCGGGTTTGATCATTGTGTTTTGTGTGTGTCCAATTCAAGTGCAGACAGTTGACCCTGGTGTTAGGGTAGGATAACTAAAGCCTACATAGACAGACTTGGGTGATGCATAGAGACAGGGACTGAATCAATGATTGTTTGGGAAACGCTCTGAGGTGAAGCTTAACTGTCAGTTAAAACCTTTCAGACTAGAAAGACAAAGGTTCAGTTCATTGCACATAATTCAGGAAAGGAAACAAGCAGCCTATTCTCCCTGTGCTTATTCTCAGTGAAATAAAAAGATAAAAAACAAACAAATCTGTGTTAACATCCTCTTCTGCAACTTAGGAGCAAGTAACTACATGCGCTAAAGAACACCGCAGCTTCAACTAGCCTTCAATCTCACGACTGCTGAAACCACTGAGCCTTCAAGACCTCATTTTTCATCGACTCAATTACTCGACAACTGTTCCCCTCCTGGCCCAACCCGTTTCCCCCCTCGCCGGTTCATCTTCCCTCCTCCTTAGTTGGAAGTGATCATTTGTTCTTTTATTAAAGTTGATAACATCCCTTGCATTGTCTGAGCATTCAAGCTGGAGAGCCGCCCCTACTGTTCTAGCCTCCAGCGTTTTCATATTATTGGTGCATTATTTCACGCATGCCCTCCTCTTTTATCAAGCGCTTTTGAAGTAATGTTAATAGACTAGAAAATTGAGACATTTATGAAGTATGGGCCATGTTTATGAAAAAATCCATAAAGTATGACAGGGGAGAGGTGAGATAAAAGCAAGGTTTTAATAGATTATGGCAAACAGGGGAGAAGCGTCAGATGCTGACAGGCACCTCCTCCGAGATCCCTCATTTTTTATGGGATTAATTTTGTTGTATTAGAAATGAAGTTAAATGTCCTAATTAATCTGTTCATGCTGCATGAATACCTCCCTGAACGCAGATGCGTGCACACACACTGGTTTTTGGCTAATTACTCTTCTGTGGTAATTGAGGTAGATGTAGTCTCTGGATGTAGGCTGAGGAAGTTTCGGTAGGTGGGGGCATATTTGATGTGGTAGGGGCCTGCTGAATTTTGCATGCCGGCTCCTTTACACGAGTGAAAAATTCAGAGTGACACCCATAAAACGTACCCACATTTTTACCGTTTGCCAGTCTTTATTTACTTATTTGTGTACATTTATCTACTGTTAAATTTCTGTTGAAGCTGCAAAGAACATATACACATATTTTTGTTTATTGTGTGTCAGCAGTTTCAGCTGCTTACCGTGAAACCACAAAGTCTATTTTCAGTTGTGTTTGGAAACATTTGTCACATTTCATTCAGAGTTCTTTCATATTGTGTTTCCTCTCCATCTACAATGTCAATTATGTTAAACAGACTTAAAGCAATGTTTGTTATTTAACTTGTATTCAATGTAATTAAACTGAAGCTTTAAACAAGCAGAGCAATTTTCTCTTTTGTCCAGCACGGGTGGCCCAGTCTGACTTTGACTCAGCCTGACCTCTCAGCTCTTCATCAAAAGGGCCAAACAAAGTTCAGCTCTTTGTTTTTAGACACTCATGCTCCTGTAAGAAGATTATTCAAATTCTACCGCCTGCCTCAACACACTCCTCCCTTTGACACTAATTGGCAGCGTCAGATTCACTTCCCTCCTGATGCCTCACGGTCCACTTTGACAATTCTCAAAATCCAATGCAAATCCTATCGTGGGCTTGTGCATGACAATCTTCTACAATATTGACTGTCACTCACAATTAGGGGAATGAGGCAAGGGGTTAGTGCTCACCAGCAACCTGAGGCTAGCGCAGTCAACTCCCCAAACGTACCTCGCCGAATCTGATCAGTGAGAATAATGTCCCAGCAAATATCCCAGGGGTGAGCCACTTACCTTAACTGGAAAGAGGAGATGTTTAACAACCATTCAGCTGATAGTTTGTCTGTTCAGACATGGTTTGGGTATCGTACGTGCCGCAGTAAATGTTGCTCAGAAGTGAATGTGACTGAACGGCCAGCATTAATTTAAACTGATCTTGCAAGTAAGAGACCCCTGTTGCTAACTCTGACTTTAGTGAATGATGGACCAATTTGATCCATCTGGCAACTAATAAGCGTAATCTATTATTATTAGTAATGCATTTCTGTGTAAAACATGGAACATAGCCAACTAAAAACAGACTTGTGCTCCTTCCCCCGCCTCCTGCTTCTTTTATGTCACTCCAAAAGAATTGCCTAAAAGCTTTCATAAAAGCATTCCATTACTCGTCTTTCATTGTAATGAGAAAATTTGTTTTGATATTTTCCAACTGAGAAACATCCTTTGTCTTAATGAATTGATTGCTGTAGTAAAAGACTGAAATTTCTTATATCTTAATTAGATGATGTAAATTGCGTCTAAAACAAATGACAGCTAAATTTTCATTAGATCCCTGACAAACAAGACAGCAAAACAAAACAATTAAAGAGAAGAACTTTGATACAGCTACGCTCACTAATAACACGATAAGATTACTCTACAGTTCATATCACAGTGAATTCAACCTGTAAACACATGTCTGTCAGGTATGAAACAACATGAAACATTATTTTAAAAAAGGGCATAAATTAAATTAGTGTTTTTTTTTTTTCTTTATGGCTTGCGGCTTTAACCTAAACTGATGCCATATTATATATCAACATACAATACACCAACAGGCCCTCAAGAGGCCCCCAGCTTTGACATTATAAAGGTTAACTAATTCTTTAAATCAAGTCACATCTAAATCTGTCAGCTTACCAGGCCAAGCCGGCGTTCAGTCAGCCTGCCATTTCAGAAAGCTGAAGCAGAGAGACATGACAAGCTGAGCAGACAGATGAATAGACGAATAGAATTTGAAGGTCCAGCATCCATCAAATGCCAATCCATAATGCCATTCCCTATACCTCCACCAGTACCAAGCCTCAATGTGGAGACCTACTGTAATTAAGTCCTGCAGGGGCAGAGCGTTCTGTCAGCAGCCATGTGCTGTCTTTCAAACCAGTGGACATTTGTCAAAAGAATAAACTGATCCCAGTACAGCTGGACATTGATTAGTTTAGAGCCCTGACTGACTACCCTAGATTCACATGGTTAGCATTACTATATATGTATATTATATATACATATATATATACCATATATATTTACTATAATTGTTAAAGAAAGGTAACAGAAACCTTTTTTATTTTTCCAGTTGTTTCCATTTTTTCCCCCTCAACTCATTATCTTAAAAATAGCTGAGCTTCACATAGCTGACTGGATTCTCTGGTCATGATTATGATCTAATATTCTGATATCCATTCCCCCCAACTTCCAATCCCTTTGTATTGTTAAATCCCTCTTTTATTCACTAATTCATTTCCGTGGAATGGAATGTATGAGAAGGTTTCTCCACAAGAGCTCTTTGGTCGCTGTTCTCGCCCTGTCCCTGTCGCCAACACTCACCAAGAAAAAAAGTGTCATTAAGATGGCATCACCATGGTGCTGGTGAGAGGAGGGGTGGGACTGCATGCTTGCTCACAGCAAGGGGGTAATTGTATCAATATGTAAAACTCCCTATCTGTACTGAAGAGACGTTAATACATTTTTGATCAAATTAAGCCATTGTAGCGTGGAGGAGGAGTAGACACATTGAGAGACCACGCAGGGGTCGTACGAAGCTCCGCGCACAGCTCTGAACAAACTCTTCTCATTGTTTTCTCAAATTGCTTTGGATATGAACGATCATTAGAGGAATGAAAGATTAGATTGCTTTCCAGAGGCAACATCGCATGCACACAGCTGACATCAATTTCATGTCTCGATGAGACTCCATTGAGGAAATCAAACACTGCTGGCATGTTAAAAGCAAACCTGACTCTGTAGGTTGCATCTCAGGACTCCAAACTGAACTTCGGTGACACACTGGAGAGATATGCCATCAAGCTCTGAATGAATGGCTAATCCACACATGTTCTCACTCATAGACGGATTTGGCTGCAACATCAAGGACGGTGTGGAGGAGATGGACACTATCCTTGTTGACAGTACCTTGACAAGTGTAATCCTATATAATACACACTGGGTAAACACAACACCAAGCCAACCGTGCAACCACAGCCCACACTTCCTTTTCTCTCCCTTTGAATTCTAGATTCTTTCTGGGTTTGAAACAATATGAAAGAAGTTTGAGTTTTAACTTTACAAACAAGTGCAAAAATGAATATGCACTCCCCACTATGAAAGAGATACATATTTACATGTATACACAACACAAGTCATACAGAACAATCACATGCATACGCACATGTGCATCTCTATATAAACAAAAGACAAAAGAGACGGACAAGCACAATTTTAATTGCCTTTCAAGAGCGCACAATTACAAAGCATACGAATCACCAGGAAGGTTTGTCAATCATCAGATTAATCCTTGATTATCCTTCTTTAATCTAATGCTTACTTTTCTACAGTAATGTTTCCTATTTTTTGCTTGGTCCAAGCCAAAAACTTACGTTATCATTTGGAAACCAGTCATTTCTGTGAATAACAGGGCTGAAATGTAAATACTTATTAATAAGTAAATAGAAGAAATAGTTTCCCTTTTGGGGATATTTTCCTAGACTTACTCTGAGGGCCTGGCTGTAGGGTCCGATGTTGGCTGGGGCCCAGTGGGACAGACTCTGGACGTGCAGAGCTTCTCTCTGATTGAAGCAGCCCTCTGCCAGGGGCTCGGTCCAGTCATGGAGGAGACAGTCCATCTGCAGCAGCTGGCCAGCAGGTAGAGGCACCTGGACACACACCCTACACAAAAACAAGAAGAAAACTGGATGATTGCTGTACTAAAAATAAATAAAATAAACACAGAATAAGAATGAGTTGTAAATGCAGGTTTGAGCAGCGTAAATATTGAAGATGTTTTACACTTACCTGGCTGGAGGGTTGATGTCAAAGTGTTTCTTATAGACTGCATTGAGTTCAACAAAATCTTCCATGTTTTTTACGTACAGGTGAACCAGAACAATGTCCTTCATCTTCCAGCCCCTGCTGTCCAACTCCCCTATAGACAGTAAATACATTGGAAGTGATAATAATATATTATAAATAAATTACACTAGCCTAACATTATTACTGCTTGGTTAAAATATGCATTTTTACAAAAGGCTTTTGTGTGCAATATACAATAAAACAACAGTACAGTACAGTCCAAATAAAATCCAAATGCAAAGGTCTGTGGCAAATGAAAGTGTCTCGCTAAGCACCATTACAGTGAGGTCATTAAGTTTCTGGACAGAATGAAAATGAGATTTTTTTTTTAATTTTATGGATATTTTTTAATGTTGTCTTATTACACCACCACAGTGAATTCTACAGCAAATGATAAATATGTTTCAGAGGTTTACCAAAACTTTTTCATTAACTGTTTGGGAATTTCAGCCATTTTTACACATAATCCATTATAGAAAGTATTTACACGATTGACTGACAAGCAGTTTCATGGTCATATGAGACCTGTTCTCTCCTTATTTCATGACAAATTAAGCTGATAAGAGATGTTGTGTTGATCAAATATTGAACATTTGGTATCTTTTTACTGGGATACTTAATATGAGGTCCAAAGAGATATCAACGCATGTGAAGCAGGTCATGATTAGGCTGAAAAACAAAAATAAACCTACAAGAAATACGATTTTTCTTTGCAAGAGCTCAGTCCCACTAGAGTAAAAATAGGACAATAGAAAACCACTTTTGGTCACCAGTTCACCTGGTGGGAGACAACCTGTCTCAGTCTAACTCAGACTGACTGCAATCATTCTCAAACAGATTGGCAAAGGTTAAAGTCAGTCTGCGCTGATGAGTTCTGCTCCATCAAATGATGAAACACACAAACATGAGTTACTAAGGTTTGTGGCTGGTAGTTTACTGCAAATTGCACTAAATTTAACACATTATTTTGCCACTGATATGTATGCGATAATTGCTGATAGGAGTGCTCATTTATTTGTAATCAGTGGGAGAGATGTTATCAGAACAAGTGTATAATTGGCACTTGTGGATGGCTCAAAGCTCTGAGTGCAACTTTGGCACTGTCTGTCCGGCTGATGTTTACTCAGTCCTCACTCTGTTTCAAGTTGCCTCCCTGTATATTCCTACTCTAAGATAATAATAGGAGTTTACTGAAAGAGAGCAGAGCTGAACATAACTTAATGGTGCAACTTAACTTTAATATTTAATATGAAGTAAGTGTCAAAAGGCAACAGCCGAAAATCGCTTCAGTTTAAAGAATTAAAAAACTACAGTAGATTCCTAAGAAAACAGTGCGCTTTGATGATGGCTTTCCTGCAGCATGTCACTTTTTTATTTCTTTCTTTTTCTAAACACATCACAGGGCTTACAGGGAGTGAAGCATATATTTACTGAAATAAACAGCAGACTTTCAGACTTTGAGAGTTAATAAATATGTAAAAATGACTGGACTCTGTAACATGTTTATGGCATCATGAACCACAAGTTCTAACTGTCAACGAAGGAGTGAACGATGTTTAGGTTTGGGTTGATCTTATCACTCAGGAGTTTGGCTTCTCCTTTCTACTGGCCCATTTCTTCAGAAACACAATCATACCAAAGCTTTCTCACTGTAGGATCTGAGATAGCAGTCCCAGTGCACAGCTCCCACTCAGTTTCACACAGAGCGGGAAAACCTGGAGGGATCTGGGACAATAACAATATTTTCATTTACACGTGGAAACCTTGGTTTCTGACAGTATCTAATATCTCATATTTAAATGGAAAAATATGGAGAAAAACACGGAGAAAAAATCTTGCGCTCCACCTGACTGTTAGCCCTCAGGACGGCACACAGTCCACAGCAATTTGTAACACAAGAATTAACCCTTACAAACCGTGTCTTGTTTGCTTGTTTATAAATGCATAAATTATAAATGTTACCCATCTGACCCAGTGAGTGACCAAGATTGGGTGGGTGGCATGCCGTGTGCCACATTATTGCAAAAAGATTGCATATAATTTCCATCTTGACCCTGTTGAAAACTGATAGGAGACTGCTTTATCGCCATTTTATCCCAGTTTTGTTGTTGTCTTGACATAATAGAGCTGGTCTCCATTATTTCAAAGGCATTGACTGCACATGGTCGCCACCTGGTCTCCAACAACTGTTTTCCTAATTGTCACAAACTAGTCAGCAAGACTAGAAATTTCCTTTCAGACAATAAATAATAAACATGTCAGCCATATGAATGAGCCCCCTAAACCATGTTACATAAAAAAACACAACAACCTTTCTAATTTGAACCTAGTGATAAATGTGTCACTTTCAACACAGCACAACCCTGAACTGCATCCACTAGTGTTAATGGACAGGTTTGAACAAGATTCGCATTTTCAGCTATATTTACCAAAAGCCTGAGATTTTTTTGTTTTACTTTTCTGAATCTATTCGGCATAAAGCTACACCTACTGCATACTTACTCAATATTCATGTCATTTTAATTCTGTCACTTTAGTATTTAAAAGGTGGATAGATTAGAAATGTTTTCTGACATTGAAATCTATTGCTTTAAAGTGGTAATGGTGGACCTCTTCTGTAAAGTGCAGTCTAGCACAGTATGCACACACGATGTAGGCTTTGGATGCAAACGCAGGCACAAGGGCTCAAAGCAAAGCCTTTCTCGCTACAATCATTTGAAAGAGCTTCAAGTTTGTTTTTCCTTTGCCGACACTAGCGTCTCAGACTACTTCGCCCTCATACAAAGAGGTTGTTCATTAAATATTAACTTGTTTAATATTGTCTCTGCACTGTGAAGGCTGTTCAGCCAAGCACCACGATAAACATTAAATATGCTTTTCATCTTTCGCTCCTCTTTCCCCATCAAAAAAAGAGAAGGAGAAAAAAAGACTGTGATACACTGTAAAAGCCTACACTTTCAAACTTCTGCAGGGAAAAAAAAAAGATAACCCACCCAACACGCCTGCACACTGCGTGTGTGTAAAAAGCTTTAGTTTTCGTTAATTTGCAATGCTTGTCCTTGCTTGGTGGCCAGCATGCGATCCTGTTCTTGTCATGGACAGAGTCTTTGACACATGCTTTGCCTGCTGCCTTGACGAGCACTTCTAAGTAAGAATGACTTGTCAAACTCTGCTACTTCTCCTGGTGTGTGTTTAGCTAACCCAGCGAGGAGAAAGAAAGACACTCAGGGGACAAAATTCTCTCCATGTGTTTCTTTTCATTGTTTTTTTTCTTTCATTTTTTTGTTTTGGTGGGTGGGTGTGGAGGGTGGGTGTAAAGTGAGCAGTGCAGCACAGTAAGCCCGCCATATTTTTTTTGTTTTTTACTGAACAGCTTACATTACCTCTGCACAAAAGAATTATATTCTACCCCCCTCGACCATATCAAAGATGTCATTTTTATTTGATTGAAGAACACATAACTCATTCAAGTATAGTTTACTTTTGTGTGTTATGTGCTTTTGCGATTTCAGGGAGGCAAAAAAGAATTTTCTAGCAGACCCTTGTGGTTTTCCAGAGAGCTCAACACTTTTAATACTTTCCCTTACTTTGCAGCTGGATGAAAGCTACCGATGTCTGGCCCTGGATCCCAGAGTCTTGGCTCTGCAGGCCATTGATGCCACAGATCCACTGATAACCTCCGGAACTTCTTAAAGAGCAAGATGGAGAGACGTCTGCATGAAGAGATACGAGATGAAGAGAAAATGTTAGTTTACTTTTTAAAGTATTTTTTCTCTGTTCATAACTTTGAGAAACCCCAAAATGAGAGATCAATCTGTTTGTTTATTCATTTATAACTATTTAAATATTGCTTAAGAGACAAACTGTGCATAAACGGTTTATGTCAGAGGAATTATTAAGTCAGAGACTGCCATAAAATGACAGGTCTTGTCAAACAATCGTTCAGAAATACTAGCATTAAGATGCTGGCCACATGACACAGATTCAGCCTGCTTACACCACACAAAGATATCATCTGGCACACCAAGACATAAATATAGACTCATGCGTGCATATCAGTGCATGCGATTCTCCCAATAAATGAATCTCACCGTGGCCCCACTGACAACTAAGGTCACAGTTTGATGAAAATTCGTGCTGGTTGTCTTCAGCTTGATCAGCATATTCCACCTCCTCAGTCATCTTGTCAATGGCATTTTGGCAAGGACAACTACCATGGGGCAAAGCTCTCGCCACCACATCCTGCAATAAAGCACCACAGGGAATAAATCAGGCCAAATGCCCAGCAAAGAGCAAGGAGCCTTCTGCAAAGACAGACAAAACGCTGTATAATTAGCCAATCTTTTCAAATACCCCACCAAGTGGGCTGTGTGTGTCAGTCTTTCATGACAAGGACCCAGACACGCATAACTTCAAGGTGAATGAATATGAAACAACATGCTAACATATTCGTGGTTCGGGCGAATAGGGGTGGTGTTTTCTGATACTGTAGATTCAATCACGCTGGCTGTCAGTCAAAACTCATGACTGGATGGGTGAGACATGTTCTGGATTTCATCTGTTTACTTATACTTTCCCTCTGCACTCTGCTACTCCTTTAAATAACAAATCATTACCATTCTCTAAGGCATACATATTACCTGCCAAATCCTGCTGGGGCGTCACATATTTAAATACATATTTCATATCTTCACAACGCCCCCCTCACCATGCCCAACACTCATTCACCCCCCTCATCGGCTGTCAACCGCATTAGGCAATATGATAATCAAATTAATTATACTTCAGCCCCTCTCTCCTGGCCAGCATGAAAAATAGCTTGACTAGCATTAACGGAGGGCAAATGATGGTGGTCCATCCCCACCCCCTGAGCTTGGTGCGGTTTCCTCTAGTGCTGGTGTCACCGCAGATCTGTCACCCTGACGAGAAAAGCTTCAGAAGGCTGAACCAGGGCAGGTTCTCCCCTGGTTGCCCCCGCCCCCTCCGCTCCCACTCGTGCAGGCCCTGGTTCTCCGTGCTCTTCCCCCAGCAACCTAGGGGGGGCTAGAGGGGCTCTGAGAGGCTGTGAATGTGTCTGTGTGTTGGGGGTTGGAGTGTGGGGAGTTAAAAATTATATAGCTGTAGGGAGTGAGGCTGCAGGGTCACAGAAGATGTGGGACAGGGGTATGTTTTCTGTCCATAACAGTCCCATCCCCCCATCCAGCATCAAGATATACTTACATACATATATAAATACAAACACAAACGCACTCTATTGCACATAAAAACCCACAATGAAACTCACATGGAAATCACATGCTCCACCCTGGAGACATGTTAATCCCACAGTGCAACTTTGAGCTCACAGCACCGTTACACAAGGAGCATTTGCTTTCAGCAGGAACACCAATAAGCCAATAGGTTTCTTATTGAACTACGCAACCTAAAATAGCATAATTAAAAAGTAAACATAAATGAAGGCAATGTCTCGATCAGAACTTTCTGGGAATTATTTAAGGATTCTAAAGTTGTCCGCTCTTGCAGACAAAGTAAAATGTTTGCAAATCTTCAAGCCTGTGAGGCCCTCCGCAGCTTCTAATTTACCAAAAGCCAATTTCTACTCCCCCCCCCACCCCCATCCACAACCCTTGCTTATGTCCGCTTAGCCAGCTACCTGAATGCAAAGTGCCTTAATGTGAGCAGACATGTTTATTAAGCTGGGCCTAGTTTCAGGCTGCAGTGAATATTGCAGACGTCAAAGTAGGCCATGTGGGGCTAGAGGAGAGAGAGAGTGAGGGATGAAGGGAAAGACCGAGAGCAAAAGTTTGTAAGAGAGAGAGCGCCGGAGCAAGAGAGAGGCCCTCTGGAGGTCGATCTGAACCCTGCCCTGCAGTGCTGTGTTTCTCCTCAACAAAGTTATCAGACACCAAAGGGTTTTGTTCTTGTATTTGTTTTGCCCTGAGAGCAGTTTTAAAGCAATCAATCCCGAAGCGACTCAAACTTTTGCTTGTAAAATTATCGATTCGGCATTGAACGCCATTGATCTCATTTGCGAAACAAGTTATAACTCATGGAAGTTTGACTCACGGTGTCTTTGCTCTCCGTGTGCATTTTAGTGAAGCGCAGGTAGCCAACCGGTGCAAAGGCATCTGCTGAGTGGATCACCGTCTCTGCCCCATCACTGCACAAACGCACAATGAACGTCCATATATATTTGGGGAAAGAACACACATGCTGCAAAAGTGTCAGACACAGTTTATAATGCTTTACTCACATAACGATCTTCTTTTTGAAGAGAGGACAATCAAGGGTGAAGGTTTCATATTCACCTCCTTCCCCACATATATGGACTCCATACTTCTGGGAGAGCTACTCAGGGAGAGAAAAACTTTCAGTTTATAATTTTTTAATCTCAATTCAATCCCAAATTTTCAATAGAACACTGGATTTTAAAATGTATAAATTGCTGAATGAAAAAATATATTTATATTAAATACATATATACATATATATATATATATATATATATATTATATCATATATATATATGATATATATATATATATATATATATATATATGTATATATATATATATTATATATATATATATATATATATATATATATATATATATATATATATATAAATAAAATCATCAAGACAATACATCATTTTAACTACATGATTTCATATTGTTTCATAGCCAACTTTGAAATGAACATCAGGTACTGTCCTGGAGATAAGAGGCTGAAAGTGTGGTGGAGTATCTGCCATCCAATTACCTGTTTCAAGTAGGGCTCCATGTCAGCCAGAGGTTTTCCTAAGTGCTTCTCTGGATCCAGGCCTGGCACACATGTGGGAAGAGACACATATGAATGTACACAAAGCAATACACAAAGACAGAAATACAAACACAAACACCATTGCAAACAGACAAACGTATGCACAGACAGAGAACGAGAGAGAGAGCGCGGTCGGATCAGCAACACAACACAGTGATTGAAGATGACAGGCAGGGAGGTTTACGGGCAGTCGCACAAACACACATGTAAACCTGCGCCCTGGATCTATTTGTTTGACTTTGCAAGTAGTGTACACAGATCTCTCCGGGTAAGGGCAACAGTTTTCAGTTGCTGGCCACAGACCCCCCCCTCCCCCCCAATCCTTCGCCCACAACCCCCCACCCCAACAAGTTCCCTTTGAGAACATAAACTCTGGAAAGAGATCTTGTTTATTTGGCTTTCCCCTCCCCTTCCCCTGAAATGGTGCATGGAAGTGACTCACAGGAATGGGAGCGAAAAGAAGAAAGGGAAGAGAAGGGTGGTGGAGAGTTTTGTATGCATATCCAGTGGTGCCACGCTTTTAAAATACAGGCTGACTGGCCCTCAGTCCCTAGACACAAAAACAAGTAAATCCAACCAGCAGCCCGCTTCCCCTTTTGATAACATATCCAAATCCAGACCTGAGCTTAAATGAAAGATCAGTGCGTTGATAGCTCTAATTTAGGAACACTCTACATATTAGTAGGAATAAAAGGCTGAAAACAGCGCGGAGTTTACTCAGCTTGTTGAGAATTGCAGGGTTTTACTACTTTGTGACACTGAGTCCTGATTTTGTGCTCTACAGGCTCTTTCCTGAGGGCACTAAGCAGAACTCCATCTCACCCTGTCACTCCTTTCACAAAGAAAGTGCAGCCAATGATTTCCTGCTGCACATTCTTTGCTGTTCCGACAAAACACAAAGCTTTGAGTACCGGGTGCTCTCTACAAAGAATAGAACAATAAAAACATAACAGGACACGAATGTAAAATGCTATATTTTAAGAAAGCCAAGTCATGCTTGCATGTTTAGAGCAAAACACCTGACTGTTTTACAGAAATACGATGACCGCTAGTGAAGTCTCTCCTTATTCTTCATCATTTTTCTTTGCCCTTTCTGTGGTTGCCTATTAACTGATCGACATAATCATTATCAAATAACTGATGAGTAACATGACAACGATGTCATCGCCATAAAAAAAAGCTGCTGACCCAAATTATTTCTCTCAAAATCTAATATAGCTCCACTACTCCTAGACATCAGGTGATCCTGTTCATTGGCATGTTCATGTGTTTAATTAAAGGAACTAAGTTAATCGAAATGTGAGAATCTCTCTTCTCTCATGGCCTGACAGCCTCAAAGGTTAACGTGTCATCAACGAGCCCCCATGGGGAGCAATGGATGGGAGACGTGAGGGAAGGCAGAGGTGATGTGAAGGAAGGACGTCGCATTCCATCCCAGTTCATCTTAATCCCAGCTGTGTCTCTCCTCCGGGCCCCGGTGGTCCGGCACTACAGGGAGAAATGGAGGGCCACAACAGTGGGAGGGACGGAGGGCCATAACAGTGAGAAGGCGGGAGGGAAGGAGGGTGGAGAAAGTGTGGAGAGAGAATGAGCAGACCCTTATTCTCTTCCCAGGGGATCTGTGGTCTTAATTAGTGTGAGAATATCTAATCTCAACATCCTCTCATCTTAACCCTGCCACAAAGGTAATAAGGAGAGATGAAAAAAAAGCATTAAAATTCAATCCAATTTAAATATCCTCTTTAATTAGTCATGCCTTTTAACAAATTTTAATAATTGGCTCCAAATTGCTGAGGGGATGCCGCATTTTTTAACACGTTCATTAACCTCCTCACTCTTAAATAATATATCATACATGATTTGATATTTACAAGGAAAGAAGAGGATGACGGAAACCAGGAAGACAGGAGTGAGTGATAAAACGATACAAAGACGACACTAATGCGGAGGCATTTCTCCCAAGACCACTTAGCACTTGTATGAGTGTTCTCTTAATTGACGTTTCTGACTGACTTAAGGTTACTCAAACCAACTGGAAATGAGAGTAGATGCAGTGAGCTTGTACTTGGAACATACATTCTTTGCAAAGTGTTTGAGTAGCCGCCAGTGTGAGCCTTTAGCAATCTAACATCACTCATTTACATGATCTTCACATCTCTGTCTCCTCTGAACCTGTTTTACAACTTGACCTAAACCCAATTACCTAACCTCATTATGCCACATTAAACCCAAATAAGCCCACCAGAAGCTGCCATTAGTCTGTCGCCAGAGACAGCAAGATCGCACTTTGTAGAGAGAGGAGCTTTCCTAAGAGAGACTGAGAGGAATAGCTCTCCTTTAAAAGGGCTTTTTACCTCGTATTATCCTATAAAACTCCAATTAAATTCAGTGAACTTTAAAACCAGGGAGTCCAGTAATGAGGGAGAGCATTTCTTTTCAAGAACAGTGCCGACATTTAGGGTTTGAAATTAAGGAGGAAGAAAAAGTTTACCAGGAAACCGAGAGTCATTTACACAATTATGTTTTTATACCGAGGTTTAAAAATAGTCTTTAAAAACAATCTAAAAATATAAAAACACATATAAAACTGCAAGCTGTAGGAGAAGTTAACCGATAAATAATAATAAAAAATGTTTTAAAGTATAGACGTGTTCTCGAAAAAATAAATCCATCTGATCTCTACAGAAAATCTTAGAAGTCACTGAATGAAATTATTTCTTTTAATGTTGTACTAATTCCTTTAAACGATCGCGATTGGGTTTTCCCATCTCGAAAAGGTTGATTCATGTAAACCCACAGCAGTGAGTTACCTATTTAATTGAAAGTGACTGTGATTTTGCTTACTGAGCCTAATGCCAAATTAAAAACTGGGAGATTCTAGATACTGTCTGAGCTGAGCTGAGCTGAGCGCAGTATCGCAGGCATCCGCAGGTTGTCTTAAGATCTGGCAGCTGACAGCTCAGCTTTAATCCTTGCCTTCAGAGAGAAAAGGCAGAGAAAATTGGATTCATGATGTGTAACATTTTAGCCTTTAAATGGATGAAATAAGCATCTCCTCCCTAGTAGGTGAGCTGCACAAGCCTTTAAACAACGCACTCAAAGACCCCCGCCAAAACAATAGCTGTTCACTATCACCTAATCTTCGCAAGACAGACAGAGGAATACAAAACAGAGAGGAAGAAAGGAGAAGAGGGAAGTAGCACGGTACAAAGGATGATAAGATTAAGGTTATATGTGAAATTTGTCAAGCTCTTATCTGAAATTCAGTGTCTGTTAGCAGAATAATGGGCAGCATGAACCGCGTAGCAATCACATCAAGATGAAATCTTTCCAGTCCAACAAATGATAGAGAAGAAATTGGGGACCAAAATGAACCTGTGGAAAATATTTTTCAGGTCTAGAGTGAAACTGAACAATGTGTAATTTAAAAAACAAACAAAAAATGCAGCCTATCATTCTTAAACTATTTAAGGTAAACCTTGAGCCTCAACCCCAAAACAGCCCAAACCATCTGCAGTAGAGAACTTCTTTTTGTTTTTAACACGTGAATTTCATAATTTTTACTGAACAGAAGAACAACAGAATCTCCAGTGCATGCCATATAATGGAAATTTAAAAAATAAATGGATTCTACTAACTGACAGCAAAGTAAAATTAGTACAGTTATCTTGGAACATTTTAATGGATGAAATTAAAAGAGCTGGAAAAGTTTATTTAAGAATTCACCAATGAACTTATTCCTCATTTAGTCATTTTTTCCAGCACATTCTCTGATTGGTTGCTTCTCTTTCTGATTTGTACTAGTACACTCAGGATATTTCAATTACTATAATTGAACAGTGGATCTGAATATGCGACTTGACTGGAAACAAAAGGTATACATACAGTATTTCCTCGATTAGGTCGAAAGGTAAAAATCCACAAAGTAGAAACCATGTGTTTATTCCATTATTTTTAATAATTAATTAATTAGTGATTAATTTTGAGTCATAAAAACCCTCCCCACACTCTTATAAACCTTCCCACTGTCTTTGAAAACCCTGTTATAACTCTGTTATTAATTTTCTAGGTTAGAAAATGCTTATTTTACTGCAAAAATAATTGAAATGTAAAAAAGAATTAAATACCTATAGAAACATGCAATGAAATTCCTGAAATATAAATTTACAGATGATGTCGCGAGTCCATGAAAGGTGCACCGGCCGGCGTGGGAATACTGTGTATGTATTTTTTAAATTTTTTTTAATAATCTATTACCTATCTGTCTAACTAACTTCATCTTTGTTAGTTTTTAAACAGCCAAAGCAGAGAGCAGTTGAACCTGACGTGTGAGCAGTAAGCTAAACTTGCAGCCTGAAATCACATGTCTGTTATTGACTATCTACGGAAGAGGATTAGGGCCACTGGAAAAAAAAAAGAGAAAAAGTCAGAATTCTGACTTTGAAGACATCCCCACTTGTTTTGTTTTTTTCTGTCCCAGACAAAAGATGACAATGTGAAAAAAAATCATGGCGACATCTTTAGTCAGAGGCCCTCCATCGCACCATGAGTGAAGTTTAAAGTTGGCCATTATAACCACTCTGCAATCCAAGGCAAAATCCTGACAATGGCAGAAATTTAGGATGATCATCTCACAATGTGACTTGTATAACAACCCACAACTACAAAACAAAAAATAGGAATGCAGCACGAAAACACGCAACACCAGCACTGTGCCAAATGTAACAAAGCATGGAAAGCAATAGTGAAGGAATAACAACCATAGATCCTGGGCACTAATTCAGCAGGTAATGCCATCCTGCAATCTGCATCAAACCTGATCCTACAGTGTGGCTTTCTAAAGTCTCAATTTGTAATGGTGCCTTCATATATAGAAACAATACCAAGCAAAGACTCTTTTTATTTACACTATCAGATACCCTGTGGCGCCATGGTACTTCATTGTGGTACAGAAAATGTCTACAAATAACATAAGTTTGTTTAAAAAAACAAATGAAATCGGTCCGGGTTAGAGGACAGAACACTTAATTTCAGGAACAACCTGCATCTTTTTACAGGGGTTGATAATCTCATATCTGATAACAGGCTCTGTTTGGTACTGTTTCTATATCTAGATGCTTTGCCAATGTAGTTCTAATATTCAAATCAAACATACAAACCATTGAGGTCTCTGATCACTAATTGTCCTTTAAATATACATTAAACTATGATAAAGTGACGAGGTGATCAGTGACAGCAAACACGTGACATAAGTTCCCTAATTCCGAGCTTAAAGGATGTGTTCGTGTGAAGGGTAAAAGTTCATGCAGAGATAAAAGATTTTCCAACAGGCAGACCGTGATTTCACACATGCCAATTATCTCTGGAGCTGAGGACCAATTAACTGCTGAACCTGTGCCCTTATACGCACATGCACTAATCAATTGATTAACTAATTACATGAATATTTAATACTAGCTTTTAGGATTTCCAATTATCCACAGTTAGCTGCAGAGACACAGCACCAAAAACGGGAATGTGCCTCCACCTTTCAGACGAATGCTTTTTTGCTCATTAGAAGCTTTAGCTGACATTCGTAGGCTCAGATCCAGTTGAACTTATTTCCCTGCCTGCAATTTGGGATCTTCAATGACTGAATTTTTTTCCCCCACCGTCAGCACACAAAGGAACACTTCCAGAGAATTCACTAAGAGGATCATCCTGCATTTGGACACCTGTCTTTTCATTACAGGGATTTATTACTAAGAAACATAAACTTCTTTAAAAGAAGACAGAAAGAAAGAAAGAAAGAAAGAAAGAAAGAAAGAAAGAAAGAAAGAAAGAAAGAAAGAAAGAAAGAAAGAAAGAAAGAAA